GACTGGATAGCACAGGTATGATTACAGTAGACTATTTAACAGGAAGGAAAAATAAATTTAAGATTAATTAGAATGTAATTGTTTTGTACATTAATAAAATGTTTCTGGGGTTGCAAAAATGTGTGTGTTGTATCTGTAGTCCTCAATAAACATTTTGAGCCAGACCTGGCCAACACATGTCCTATTTGCACTGCTTTGTTTCAGTGCCATACCTTCCTGGCATCCCCAGTGTAGAAGGTATGGAACGGCTTCCGTATAAGGAGAGATTAATAAGACTGGGACTTTTCATCTTGGAAAATAAACGACTGGGGGGGATATGACAGTGGTCTATAAAATCATAACTCGTGTAGAGAAAGTAAATGAGGAAGTATTATTTACTCCTCATAACAAAAGAACTAGGGGTCACCAAATGAAATTAATAGGCAGCAGGTTTAAAACAAACAAAAGGAAGTATTTTTTCACACAATGCACAGTCAACCTGTGGAACTCCATACCAGAGGATGTTGTGAAGGCCAAGACTATAACAGGGTTCAAAAAAGAACTAGATAAATTCATGGAGGACAGGTCCATCAATGGCTATTAGCTGGGATGAGCAGGGATGGTGTCCCTAGCCTCTGTTTGCCAGAAGCTGGGAATGAGCAACAGGAGATGGATCACTTGATGATTACCTGTTCTGTTCATTCCCTCTGGGGCACCTGGCATTGGTCACTGTCTGAAGACAGGCTACTGGGTTAGATGGAGCATTGGTCTGACTCAGTATGGCTGTTCTTATGTTCTTAAGGTGTTCTGGGAGTAAGAGGAGTTTTGGCCATCCTCTGGCTGACCCCAAGATCATGGGGTGTGGGTGGAAAGGTGGCATAAAAGCCCCTTTTGTCCCCCATTCTGCCGTTCTGGTGCACTGAGGGAGATCCCAGCATACTGGAGCTTCAAGACCTATATCTTATTTTCTTTTTAGTTTACATTGGCCTTAGTAAAAAACTCTGAACCTGCCCTGCCTATGAAACATCTGCTATAACAAAATTAATACTAGAGTAGCAGCAGCCAGCCTGATCTTTCCTACACAAATAGTTCACATTTTGTTCTTGGTGCCCTTTTAAAAATATGAACAATTTTATATTTCAGTGTTTCTTGCATTGCAATCTACTGGTCCCAAATATTCCAGCAAAGCATTGTAGGTATAGATTTGTAAATCATACAGCACATGCAATTAATCCAGCTGTCATGTGCCTTAACATAATGCTGGTTTTTACTTTTAGTTTGTTAAAATATAAAAGAACTTAAGTAGCCTATCAATAATGATTGAATCCCTTCACTGTGTAAGAGAGGGAGCAAGTAGGAAACCGTTGACAGGAGCTAACAAAGTAGAGAGAACCTTTCATCTAAGGGTACATCTACACTACAGGGGGGAGTCGATTTAAGATACGCAAATTCAGCTACGTGAATAGCGTAGCTGAATTCGACGTATCACAGCCGACTTACCCCGTTGTGAGGACGGCGGCAAAATCGACTTCTGCGGCTTTTTGTCGGCGGCGCTTACTACCACCTCCCCTGGTGGAGTTAGAGCGCCGATTCGGGGATCGATTGTCGCGTCCCAACGGGACGCGATAAATCGATCCCCGAGAGGTCGATTTCTACCCGCCGATTCAGGCGGGTAGTATAGACCAGACCTAAGTGTAGAACATTCCTTCTCTTCCTTGCTTCACATTTCTGTAGAAGTATTTCGGTGGGGCTCTGAAAGGTGCTGTACTGTCAGTATTAGAAAGTATTGTCTTCTGATCAACAAATAGCATAGGTACAATATAAGCAGTGACATTGGAAGCTTCCTTGTGCCTCCACCAATGTGCCTTAAGCCTGACTGGAAAAGACTAACTGTAGGAAAGTTCAGTCTTTCTTGTTAATTAACTCTTGACCCTATTGCTGAATTGGTTCTTGTGTTGTGGATGCCTGTGCACTAAGAATTTGACTGAGACACCAGCTCGTATCACATAGGCCACTGAACAACTCTCATGTAAAAGAAGCTTTATGGATCTTCTTTTTCCAGTTTGGTCAAATTCAGACCAGGGGGGTAGAGAAGATAGAGACTCTTGTGCATCGTACAGTCCCATTTATATATTTAATAACTTATATTCAGTTTTGTTTTTCAAATCCATTTTTTTTAAATTTGGTACTTCAACTTTTAAATTCTTGCCATGCATGGAAGGAACAGAAAAAAATTTAAAGACCCTAAATGACAAAAAATATAGCCTTATGCAGTGTTGTTATAGCCATGTTGGTCCCAGAATATTAGAGAGACAAAGTTAGTGAGGTAATATCTTTTATTGGACCAGCTGATGGTTATCTGTTCTGTTCATTCCCTTTGGGGCACCTGGCATTGGCCACTGTCGGAAGATAGGATACTGGGCTAGATGCACCTTTGGTCTGACTCAGTATGGCTGTTCTTATGTTCAGCTTCTGTCCAATAAAAGATATTACCTTACCCACCTTGAGTCTCTAAAAAATATAGTCTTCACATGTGTCTTTTTCTTTCTCTACTTATTTTTGCAAAAATCCTCTTACGATCAAGACTGAAGTTAGTACAGAGAAACAAAGAAGTTATAAATGTCTTAACCACAGTTTTGAAATATATTTTTTTGTGGAACAAAAGAACAAAGAATTCTCAAATTAGTAAATCCATTATTTTCATGGTGTAGAGACACACACACACACAAAACACCTCATGAGCCAACAGAAAACATTTTGGCCATGCACTATGTGTAGTTAAGAGATAATGCAAGTATTCTACAGCAAATACCAAAGACAAACTGCTACTCTGTGTGTGTGTGTGTGTGTGTGTGTGTATCTATAAAATAATATGTGTGTGTATGTATGTGTGTGTACATAAGAAACAACTCATGGTAACAGTGCCACCTCGTGGTTAGTCTCAGTCAAAATTGTGTCTACCTGGGAGGGAGCTATTCTACTGATCTCCTGTGCTGTATTTGAATGTGACACTGTCATGAAGGTATGTAAAAGAGTGAAATGACAGCATACATGTTGTTTTAATATTTTCCTCATTTTATTTTTTAAAGACTTGTGGTCCTTTGTGGGCCCAGCAGTGTGGAAGTCAGTACTATGCAACGGGAGTCTGTTCTGAAATCAGTCCAAGTTTCCAGATCTTAAGAAGCTTTTCACCTGCTCTTCAAAGTAAGACAATGCATGTAAAATAGATTCAGTAATAAATAAATCCATTGAAATGAAGAGAGATGTCATGTAATGGAATCCTAAAGTGATTACATTTGAATTTTTTAAAATTCAGTTTAAAAAGAGCCTAATCCTGAGGTTCACACTCAAGGCTTGATTCTAATCTCACTTACTGGTGAAAATCAGTAGTAACTTCACTGATTTTTGATGCATTTACATCTGTGTAACACAGGTGTAAGCAGACTCAGTAGCAGGCTGGGATTTTATTCTATTCTCGTTCAGGCAAACCTCCTGTGACATCAACGGAAGTTTGCTTGGATATGGACTAGGTATGAACATCTGGATTTGGCTCATGAGTTATAAGTAAATTTTATGCATTCAATGTCCTTTTATCAGTCATTATCTTTTCTCTTTTAGACTGTTCCTCCTTCATAGATGTTGTTGTTGTGTGTGATGAGTCAAACAGCATTTATCCGTGGACTGCAGTGAGTGCGTTTTTGACAAAATTTGTCCAAGGCTTAGATATAGGCCCCACAAAAACTCAGGTAAGTCAAAAAACATTTTTTGAAATAGAAGGAAGGTAGCAATGAGTTTTATTAGCTATGTGTGACAAACTTAAAGGAAATTAAGTTTGCTAACATAAAGCTAACCCCTGGTCTGATCCTGAGAGAGCCTGAATCTCTACAGCTCCCATCAAAGTCACTGGGATTTGCAGTAGTTGAGCATCTTTCAGGATCAGGGCTTTTGTCATAAAGCTAACTAATGTTTCAAAAGGGAATATTCCATTTTGATTAATTTATTCCAGTACATAGTTTGTGTCAAAAGAGAGATCTAGATTATTTCCAGTATACTTAAAGGTCTATTCTCCATTTAATAATGATGTGTAACAATCATTAAAATTTGAGCTGTGTGCATATATTGAGAGCAGAACACATCTTCCCTCCCTCCGCTGCCCCCCCTGCCCCGAGTTTTATAGCTCATTACTCTCAGTATGGCTAAAGTTGTAAAACCTTTTCCATTTTAAGCCCACTTTTCATATAATCATAGCTTTCCAAAATCTACATCATTGGTGCAAAAAGCAACAGAGGGTCCTGTGGCACCTTAAGACTAACAGAAGTATTGGGAGCATAAGCTTTCGTAGGTAAAAACCTCACTTCTTCAGATGCAAGTAATGGAAATCTCCAGAGGCAGGTATAAATCAGTATGGAGATAACGAGGTTAGTTCAATCAGGGAGGGTGAGGTGCTCTGCTAGCAGTTGAGGTGTGAACACCAAGGGAGGAGAAACTGCTTCTGTAGTTGGATAGCCATTCACAGTCTTTGTTTAATCCTGATCTGATGGTGTCAAATTTGCAAATGAACTGGAGCTCAGCAGTTTCTCTTTGGAGTCTGGTCCTGAAGTTTTTTTGCTGTAAGATGGCTACCTTTACATCTGCTATTGTGTGGCCAGGTAGGTTGAAGTGTTCTCCTACAGGTTTTTGTATATTGCCATTCCTGATATCTGACTTGTGTCCATTTATCCTCTTGCGTAGTGACTGTCCAGTTTGGCCAATGTACATAGCAGAGGGGCATTGCTGGCACATGATGGCATATATAACATTGGTGGACGTGCAGGTTAATGAGCCGGTGATGTTGTAGCTGATCTGGTTAGGTCCTGTGATGGTGTTGCTGGTGTAGATATGTGGGCAGAGTTGGCATCGAGGTTTGTTGCATGGGTTGGTTCCTGAGTTAGAGTTGTTATGGTGCGGTGCATCTGAAGAAGTGAGGTTCTTACCCACGAAAGCTTATGCTCCCAATACTTCTGTTAGTCTTAAAGGTGCCACAGGACCCTCTGTTGCTTTTTACAGATTCAGACTAACACGGCTACCCCTCTGATCATTGGTGCAGAATTTTCCATGCTTGTTTCTCTCTGAAAGTGGTGATTTTGAGAAAAATGATATTTTTAAATTTGAGGAGGATTTCCCCCCATTTTTTAAAAAGAACTAATCACCTATTTTTAGACAGTGTTCTAGCAAACATTGTCTCAATGTGGGCTAGCATTTTTTTGTTTTGAGATTCCTTGATACATCAAAATCACTTTATGACCAGCAGTGGAAATTTTCACTTAAATAGAGGTGCATTTAATTTGATCCAGCAGCTATGTGCCTAAGAACTTCACTTGAAGGTTCTGAGCTGTACAAAACACATTCTTGTGTAGAATGGAACTTATGAGTCTAATAGGGGCAAGGAACTTTAAAATTCAATTTTTAAGGTTGCTCAAGCTAATATTCTCAGGATTTTTTTTCTTTTAATTTTTTCCCTTAAAACCTGAAAACTAAATGCAAAATACTAGTATTGACACAATATTAAGATTGCAAGCTCAATCACTCCAAGTTTAGAAATTTCAAAAACCTTGGCAGTATTTACTCAGCCATATAACAGATACTTAGTATTTTCATTTCTTCTTCACCATGGTAAATGTATGTCTTAATATACTTCTCTATTATTAATTTATACTATAAAATAAAAGGGATGTACAATGTTATCAAGTAATTTCCTATGGAATTTCTATAGAGCAGGTCTAGATGAGATATTGATAAAAATATTGACTGCTCTGTATCTATACTAGTAGAAATGCAGTGGTAGAAGCTATGTAGGGAACTTTTAGGGGGGAAAGAAGTCTAGTGCAAACAAGTAGATCGTGTCTTCATTTATTGTTGAGTAGGGTAGATAAAGAAACAAGATGTAAATTACTGTAAGAATTTGTAACATTATGTTTTACTTTCCAAACATGGGCAATAATGTTAATTGGGGTTGTATGTGATGAAGGAAAAATATACCACCTTGTATATAGAATTATAGAAATGTAGGACTGGAAGGGACTTTGATAGGTCATCGAGTCCAGGCCCTGCACTGAAGCAGGACTAAGTATTATCTAGACCAGCAGTTCTCAAACTATGGGGCATGTCATTTGGAGGCATGGGAATGTGTCCAGGGAGGTGTGAGCTGTGTGCCTTTTTTTTTTTTTTTAAAGAGCTCTGGCTGTCAACCCCCGGTGGCTGGGGCTCGGGCAGAAGGGTCATGCACATCCAGGAGGCGGGGGGGAAGGGATAAAGGGGACAGCCAGAACCTGCCACCCAGGCTTGGGCTCTCCTTCCCCTCTCCTGCTCCTCTGTCCCTCACCAGGAGGCAATCTGGGCTTGGGCTCTCCTCCCCACTACTCCGTCCTTCATTGGGAGGCAGCCCAGGCTCGTGCTCTCCCTCTCACCCCCCTCCCATCCCCAGTCCCTCACTGGGAGGCAGCCTGGGCTCAGGCTCTCTTTCCTCTCCCTTCTCCCAATCCCTCACCTGGAGGTGGTGGTGGGGCTCCAGCTGTCAGCCCCAGGGCAGCAGCAGCAGCGCAGAAATAAGGGTGGCAATGGGGCACTAAGTCTGCTGTGAAAAGTGATATTGACAAATATCACTTTTTACATTGCCACACTTACTTGTACGCTGCTGCTGGCGCAGAGTTGCCTTCAGAGCTGGGTGGCAGTCTATGTACTTGTGTGGCAAAGGATGGGGGCATAAACAACTACAGACACAAAGAAAGGGGGGGTGATCAAATAAGTTTGAGAACCACTGCTCTAGACATTCCCTGACAGTTTTTTGTCTAACCTGTTCTTAAAAATGCCTTTAATGACCGGAGATTCCATAACCTCCCTAGGCAATTTGTTCTGGTGCTTAATTACCCTCACAGCTGTGAAATTTTTTCTGAAATCTAACCTAAATCTCCCTTGCTGTAATTTAAGTCCATTACTTCTTGTCCTCTCTTCAGTGGTTAAGAAGAACAGTTTATCACCCTCCTCTTTATAATGACCTTTTACATATTTGAAGACTGTTATCATGTTGCCTCTCAGTCTTCTCTTCTCCAGACTAAACAAGCCCAATTTTTTCAATCTTTCCTGGTAGGTCATGTTTCCTAGACCTTTAGTTGTTGTTGCTCTCCTGTGGACTGCCTCCAATTTGTCCACATCTTTCCCAAAGCGTGCTGCCCAGAACTGGACACAGTACTCCAGTTGAGGCCTTATCAGTGCGGAGTAGAGTGCAAGAATTACTTCTCGCGTCCTGCTTTACAGCACTCTTGCTAATACATCCCAGAATGATGTTCACTATTTTGCAACAGTATTACATTGTTGACTCACATTTAGTTTGTGGTGCACTATGACCCCCAGACCTCTTTCCTGAGTACTCCTTCCTAGGCAGCCATTTCCCATTTTGTATCTGTGAAACTGATTATTCCTTCCCAAGTGCAGCACTTTGTATTTGTCCTGATTGAATTTCATCCTATTTATTTTAGACCATATCTCCAGTCTGTCAAGATCATTTTGAATTTTAATCCTCTGTAGATCCTGTGTATCAGTTTGACAATTAATTTGGTATTTTAATTCTGTATAATTGATTTGAATGCATGACAATCTAACTTTTTTTTTTTTTTTTCGATGATGTTTAGGTGGGCTTAATTCAATATGGTAATGATCCAAGGGTAGTGTTCAACTTGAATACCTACAAAACAAAAGATGATGTTGTTAAAGCAACGTCACAGACCTTTCAAAAAGGAGGAGACTTGACTAATACTTTCAAAGCAATTGACTATGCAAGGTAAAGTGCACTAATAATTGTTATGCTACTTTTGTAACTAAAGACCGATCCTGGAAGGTGTTGAGCACTTCTTGAGAGGTTAGTACTGCCTCTGGTGCCCTTGGGGAATTAAAGTGCTCAAGAACCTCTCCGAAGGTTCTCACTACCTTCCATGATTAGTTCCTAAGAAAGATGCAAAATGACTTATGAGGCAAATTTTGCTCATTGACTCAATGCGACTGCACATGTTTAAATGTTTACAGGATAAGGCCTTGGTTGATTGTGAGAAAACCATCACAGAATCAAACCCTTTCTCCAATGGGACTTTTGACTTTGTAGTGTTAGCAGCAGTAAAAAGTAGTAAAAACTTATTTGGGGCAGTAAAATAACTCCGATTACACACACGGGGAATGATCTGTTAAGTAAGCAGGCACTGTTTTTACACAATCATTTTTCAGAATAGAACTGCACTTTTAATAGGGGTCTGAACACTAACTGACTCAGTGACCTTGGGCTACTTGTTTAGGGACAGATTCTGAATATAGTAGGTTCCAAATTTATAACGGTGCCACAGGGATCATCCTTGTTTTCATTTCCCTCTGGATCTGCAAAATGGAGCTAATCCCTGGTTTTTTTTGCCTCACAGGAGTATTGAGAGTAAAGCTGGTCAAAACGTTTTTGGACAATTTTTTTTTTAATCAGAACATAAATTTCCACAGGAAATTCAGATTAAAGATTATTCAGATAAAATTTTTCACATCTCTGACCAAAAAATGTTTCAGGTTTTGATGTTTGAATAGTTCTTTGAAGGCAAAAAGTGCAATAAGTGCTAAACTATTATTAATGAAGGATTTTGGCCAAGATTTTAAAACATGTTTAGGCACTGTTGTGCTATACCTAACTGATTTAGGAGCCTAAATATGATTTTCAAAAGTGATTTAGGCATTTAGGAACCAAAATCCCATTGACAGACAATTTAGGGATTTAGACTCCTAAATACCTAGATCCCTTTTAAAAATGAGAGCTAAAATCAGTTAGGCGTAGCACAGCTCAGGTGTGGCACAGCAGTGCTTAAATATGTTTAAAAATCTGGGCCTATGTGTTACAGTAAAAAAACCACTCCAGATGCACTTTGTTCTAAGTCAATGATGGAAGCATTCATTAAAATATGCATATAAAATGGCATACATTATATACATTCGCATTTAATAAGTCTAATGCTTTATTTATCACAGACGTCATGCTTTTTCCTCTGAATCTGGTGGACGGCCCACAGCCACAAAAGTAATGGTCGTTGTGACAGATGGTGAATCACATGATGGCTCAAGTTTGAAAGAAGTGATAACTAAATGCAATGAGGACAAAATAACCAGATTTGGCATAGCTGTAAGTAATACTATAATTAATGCTGTAATTTTGGTGGGACTGATTTAATTAAAAGTATGTATTCATGCATCATTATATCAGCGAGACTGGGACGCAGAGGGAGTTCATCTTTAGGAACCACTGTAATATCAGCAGGCTTTAATTCATTAGAATTATTATTGTTATCCAGCAACAGAGAGTCCTGTGGCACCTTTAAGACAAACAGATGTATTGGAGCATAAGCTTTCGTGATATTCTCAGTGATATTCTTTTTAGTTCCCGTTGTATATGAAATACAAGATATTTCAAAGTTGGTAACTTGTTCAATAAAATGAATTCAGAATACAGGGCTTGATCCTCTGCTGCCCTACACCTTGGATAGTCATTTACCGTGTATGAAGGGATTGGAAAATTCTACCATTCTGCTTTTGTAGCATTACACACCCACTTTGTGCTCCTTCGGCCTGGGTGGAAATGACTGCACCAGTTGCAAAGTGGGGCAATTCAGATTCAGTTTATAGACCTTAATATTTATTATAAATGGCAGAATGTTGCGTTTTTCTTATGCATTCCCGTCAGTTCACCTTACCTACAGATGTCAGGAGGCTGATATAAAATCCATGATGGGAAGGGTGTGAAGGATCAAGGGAAACAACAGACTTTGCCTGGAGTGTGCACATTAATTTCATTTTCCTGTCATGTATAAAATATCTCTCTGTGTGTGATACTGAGGGAAATGGAGCCACACTGAGGTTTCTTTTTCTCTCTTTTCAAGGTTTTGGGATACTTAATCAGAAATGAACTCGATACTAAAAATTTAATTAAAGAAATCAAAGGAATTGCGAGTCTTCCGACAGAAAAGTATTTTTTTAACGTGTCATCTGAGGCTGCACTATTGGAAGAAGCAGGAACACTGGGAGAACGCATATTTAGCATAGAAGGTAATATACCCATTGGGGCTGAGGAGTTGTTGACAGTTTACACCAGCTGAGGATCTATTCACTATTTTTATTAAGGGGTTACAGGCTGTCTTTGTATGAATGTATGATAAATGCTGATGTGACCCATTCATTATTAAAATCTTGATAAACATTATTACCTTTTTACCAATTAGATTTCCATACTCTACAACCGTTGTGTATATTTTGGGTGAACTTTTGGGAGCAAATTATTTATTTGACAAACTGTTCCAGTCATGCTTCAGCTGACTTCAATGGCAGAAGGATTGGGGCCAATATGTAGCAACAATAATGTTCAACAGACTTAATGATACATGAATAACTTTCAAAATAATGGTTATTGTACCAGGTACCGATCAAGGTGATACATTCCAAATGGAAATGTCACAAGTGGGCTTCAGTGCATATTACTCACAAAAAAAGGTACGTATATTTAATCATGTAGTGTATAATGCTGGTATGATATAAAAACTGTCTCAAATGAAATATGTAGATATAATTACATATACATAAGTTCATGTATAAATTTAACAAAATAAGAATAATAAACAACAATGCAATATACAGATCAAATTTCATTTATATTTTCTTCTAATATAAACCAGGAAAGTGGAACACAAGTGGTTTTATCTGTAGTACCACAAAACTAAATTACATCATGGTTGCAAGGAGAAAGAGAGAGAAAATATACCATAATGAAAAGTGAAATAATACTTTTTATTATAGCATTAATGTTGAGTAATGGCTTCTATTCTAAGCGCTCCTCTTTTTTTTTTTTTTTTTTTAGCTGCTTATAATTTTCCCAAACAAATTATGCAAATTGGGTTGGATTTTTTTTATCATTATTTTAAGTTTGGTCAAAATCAGTTCAGCCATTTCTGAGTTCACCAAGCATGAACAATTCTTCTGTTCTAATTTGATGTCTTGTGCTTGAATAGCTCAGAAAATTGAAACTAAATATTTCAAAACTAGCTTGTTTGTTAACATTCATGGAGATGTAAGTAACAATTCAAGTATGAAGAACATGTGTGTAGTATTTTCAAAGTTAAAATGTTTTTGGCACCTTTCATATAAACACATTTTAGAACTATTTTTTCATATTAAACATGTTTAAGGATACCTCAACCAAATAAAGAATTCCTAGTCTAAATATGCAAAGTCCAGCCGCAGTTCAAGCAGTTTTCAAGCTCTGCAAACCTAATACATATATCCATTTTTAATTTCTTCCCTAAAAACAAAAAAAATAGGGAAGTTTACATGAATAAAAGGTTGAATTCATATTTCAATACATGAATTCAATATTAATGCAACATTAAGCTTGTGAGACAGTTAAAGTCAGGATATAGCAAAAATTAAGCAATCTCTCTCTGCTTAGTCAGGCAAGTTGCATATGAGCAAATATTTTCTATTCCCATTTTCCTTTTTAAGGCATCAGTTCAACAGGGTTCTTAAGCACACAAGTAACTTTAAGAATTTGAATACAGTAGGGCCTCAGAGTTGCGCACACAAGAGAGAGAAACTGACCATTTGGAACCGGAAGTACGCAATTAGGCAGCAGCAGAGACAAAAAAAAAAGCAAGTACAGTACAGTACTGTGTTAAATGTAATCTACTAAAAAAATAAAGGAAAAGAAGCATTTTTTTCTGCATAGTAAAGTTTCAAAACTGTATAAAGTCAATGTTCAGTTGTAAACGTTTGAAGGAACAACCATAACATTTTGTTCAGAGCTATAGAACATTTCAGAGTTACGAACAACCTCCATTTCCAAGGAGTTCGTAACTCTGAGGTTCTACTGTAGTCCAATTGATGGGGGGTTTGGCAAGTAATTACCATATATAAACAGTTTATACATAAACTATCTTAATTGGGTATTGCATTTTAAAAGACCTTTAGGAAGAAGGGGGAAGCCCACACTTCTCTTATCGGTCCATCTGCATGGCAAAAATTTGTAAATGTTTTTCCGCCTCCACTGTTGTTTCCAATGATTGAAGCTATTGTGTATATAGGAGTCAGGATTGGGGTTACAGGGAGGTTATTACTATGTCATTTTACTCACCTCTGAGGGTTTAGAGTATCTAAACAATTCATTTAAATGGATTACACCACACATATACTGTAACTTCTGCTTCCTTGTACTTATGGAAGAGTAGGTAGCTCTAAAATTCTGATTTTATTTTTTTAAGGATGTTCTGATGCTAGGTGCTGTTGGGGCTTATGATTGGAGTGGGACTGTAGTCCAGGAGACCTCAAATCAAGTGACTACATTCCCTAATCAAGCATTTGAAAAAACTCTACAAGACAGAAACCATAGCTCGTATTTAGGTAAGGGGCTGTAACATTTGTTATGTAGCATATCTAAAGTTAATCGAAGACGGGCAACAATGGCAAATTACCTTCCAGCAGTCTCCTGTTTAAGAACTGATTTGAGAGGAAAGGGAAATTCTGTACATAAATGGATTTCATTTACTGGTCAATTGATTCACTGAAACGGAATGACACATTTTAATTATTTTCAAAACTCTGAATGAATGTTAACTGAAATATTAATGACATAAGATGAAAAATTCTTGGGACACATACATTGCAAGAATGTAAGAAATTACAGGGATTGAAAAAGGCTACTTAGTTTATAATCAGGGGTCTTTTTATATCCCAGATTTTTGTTTGCATATATACTCCCTATTTGACCTTAGGTTAGAAGCTTATTTAGTTGTCAGCAACTCATCCATGCTCATTCCTTCAGTGTCCTGTCCCAGTTTGATTTATGTTCTTAGTAACATCACTGCAGTTTAATAGACATTTTATTTATATCCGCTATTAATTTTCTGACATACATTTCTGTTCTCAGCCAAAACCAGCAAACTTTACAGCTTGATGACCTGCTATATCCCCCACACTGATACAATATGTACTTTGGAACAGTGAGAGCCAGAAGAGTTATTATTATATCTTGTAATATACCGGAAACCACCGTTTTTGTTTAGGCTTTCACCATTCATTTTTGATAGACTTGTTTTTCCATCCTAATGAGGGATTTCTGTATGGCAGTCTCTGGTTGATCCCTTGACACTTTATCAATGCCATTAAACACCAAAATGACTCTTCTTAGAATAAAAGTTTACATTTGCCTGGTAAAACTTCTCCAAGTTTTACTATTAAATTGCTCTTCAGTGTAAGCCTAAACCTTACAGCAAAATGTTTTTGTTCTCTTCTGTTAAAGTAAATTTAGTGTAGTAATACAATAGAAATACAAAATATGTAGTAAAACTGGTTTACAGAGATAATATGTACTTAAAATGCTTCCCAGTATTAAGATATTTCCTGCAGAGCAGCTTAAGTTATAATACTGGTGGAGAGGATTAAAACTTTTTAGAAAAAGTCAATCAATCTGAAACCTATGATTGATGGACTGTTAACTTATCCTACCATGTACAGTCAAGCACTGTAGTGTGGTCATTAACTGGGATTAGTGGTTTTGTGTCTTGTGGGAGAGTGCATTGAGCCCATCGTAATCAGTGGGTTTCCTTCCCAGACATGGCCCAATTTGAAGAATGGCTGTGATGGTGGCCTCTAGTTCCTTCTTCCTCCTTCATTCCAGGGCCACCTTTTTTCCTAACTCTCATTTGCATTCAGCTGACATTTTTGTTGTCTGCTTCTTGCTCTATAAGCCAGTGTTATCCTACAAATCGGTCAGGAGCAGTTGTATTTCACTCTCCTCCCCTGAAAACCATATCTCCTTAACAAATAAATGCAAGTGTAAGTGAGCTAGGTGATGAGTGACAACATAACTTCCAAACTTGAATCTCTGACCTGGCTGTGCAGTGTTTTGCCGCTAGGACACCATGTCATCTCATCTTCTGTTCTTCTAATGGGTAACTAAGGACTTCTGTATGCAGGGAAATAGTACAGAATAGTTATTGCGGAATAGCTATTCTGCACTAGCTCCACATATAGACACTCTTAGGGCAGGTCTACACATAAAATGCTGCAGTGCAGCTGTGCCTCTGTAGTGCTTCAGTGAAGACACTACTATGCCAACGACAGAGCTTCTCCCATCAGTGTAGTTAATCCACCTCCACTAGACACGGTAACTATGTCAACAGAAGTCCTTCTGTCGACATAGTACTGTATACCCTGGGGACTAGCACACTATAACTGTTGCTCAAGGCTGTGGATTTTTCACATCCCTGAGCAACGTAGTGATACCAATGTAAGTTTGTAGTGTAGACCTGGCCTTATTTTACAACGAGGGCCTTTATGTGTTTTAACTTAATCCACTTTGGAAGTTCAGAATGAGAATGTTTGCACAGAGAGCTTGTGCAGAATAGCTATTGAGCTTTAAATTCATGCCCTAGCTTATAACCTTAGTAGGCAACCCCTAACTCTGCCTACTTTACTAGATAATATCTCACAACTGTCATGTTGACTTCTTTTCTAGGTTATTCTGTCGCTATTATCTCAACCCAGAACACTGTCTATTTTGTTGCTGGTGCACCAAGATCAAACTACACTGGCAGAGTAGTGGTTTATGACATTGACAGCCATGGCAGAGTCACAGTTGTTCAGTCCCAAAGAGGGGATCAGGCAAGTACAATCATTTTATTCATGGACATAAATTTTGTAGATATGCTGCACTGAAACTGGTTATTCATGGTTGGCAGCGGTAATGTATGTCTTCTTAAAATTATTTTTTTCTTGCAAAACGTTTAGCATCATATCTGTCCGTTCCCCTGTAGCTACACTCTTGCAGTGAATTTGAGATTTTCTGTAACTTTGATACAGTCTCTCGTGGAATCATGGCAATTAGGTATGGGAAAAACATTATCAGGCCCTCTATGTAAGTACCTCTAGTTGGGGGAGACTCCACTGACATCCATCCACTCTTCATGTGAGGTCTTCTGGAGGAGAGATGGTACCGCAAGATTGATTTGCAAGTTCATGATATTCCTTTTTCTCCATTGTAAAAGCCTTGTCATGATGCTGAAAGTTTGAATTTTTATGTTATGAAAGCAGACCAATATAAAAGTAAATCACAGGTCAGGCTATTTCATGTGCACATTTTAACATAAAAAAGAAATAAATTGCACAGCACTCTTTTCTCCATTTATAGTCTCATTACACTATGTTAGTGCCATAGCAGCAACAGTATGATGCTGTCCAAAAAGTAATGAAGAGAAACAAAATGGGTGAGGTAATAATGGATATTCAGTAAGTGGCTGAATCTTCTAACATGTAGGCATGTTACACAAGTTGCTTTTCTTGTGAGCGGTCCCATTTAATTCAGTTGGACTGTTCACACACACACACATGCAAGTGTTTGCAGGATGAGGTGCAGAAACAGTGTAATTTAAAAAAGACATAAATAAATTACTCTTGTGTTATCAATTCCAGATTGGCTCCTACTTTGGCAGTGTGGTGTGTGCAGTGGATGTTAACAGAGATTCAGTTACAGATGTGCTGCTAGTAGCTGCACCAATGTTCATGAATGAGCTAAAGAAAGAAGAGGGAAGAGTTTATATGTTTTCCATCACAAAGGTAAAAAAAGCGTGAGAGGGTGGGGAGGAGGACTAAGGACCTAAGTTCATGTTCTGGACATGTTGCTAGCACGGAGATGTGACATCCACATTCATGACAGACCCATGATATTCTCAATTCTAGCACAAAGTTCTTGCTGTGGTTTCCTTGGACAGAAGTACTGCTGAAAAGAAGCAGAGTCCATTGTTGTCGGATTTGTCACCTAGGCCACATTATATTGTTTCTGCCTCCTGATTGACTGACTGAAATTTTTAAAACAGGAGATTAACAATCATCTGGTAGATATTTTCAGATGAATACATGTTTGTAGTAAAATTCCTGAAATGCTTGGCGTTTGTGGACAGTCTTATGACTGACTGGTGGACACCTGAATATTCATGCTAGACATTCAGTATGACTCCATGCAGCATAGAAAACACAGAGAAGGATGGGGAGTGTTACAATTTTATCAGTTCTAGTTAGAACTACTGATGTAAAACTAGTGCATTTGATACTTATGGGCCATAATCAGCAGCCCTTACATCAAAGCCTTTGAGTAGCAATTAAGGATTGCAAAGCTGTTTCCTATATTACTAGGTGGAGGAATCAATCCCTATCTGCTCTGAAACTTTTCTGCATTTATTTTTTTGTTTTTTTAATTGGGTGCTGGCCCCTGGTAGGGAGCCTGAGAAACAAATGCCATTTCAAGAACATGGGAGGTGCTGGGGAGTGGGAACTCACATACACTGAGCCAATGAATGTGGAGAATACTGGGAGTGGCAGAAAAGAACTCAACCTGCTCAGAGTTCTAATTCTGCTTCTGTCAATAGCATTTTCCCCCAGGCTGTTAAGCAGGATGAAGGTGCTACTGAGGAGAGCTGATACAACAGTTCACTTTGATAATAGGCAAAAAAAACAAAAACAAAACCCAAACATTTAGTGGATGGATTTTTCACGTTTGCAAATAGAAAATGATTGGAAAACTATGATTAATATTTTTAATAGAATTTTAAAATAGCATGGAATTATGTAATTTGCCTGTGCTACAGGAATTAAGTGCTAACCATTGTGGATAAACAGTCTGACTAGCATAGCATATTTGTGTACAAAACAATGAGAATACATGACAAACATAAAGATATTTGTTTTGACAATGCTTTTTGACATAGATAATGCAATATTATCACATAGACCGTTTTTCAACACTTTTTCTTCAGTTGGCAATAGGAAGGTCAGGAATACTAGTGTTTCCACAAATGGGTTTTGCATTAGCTAGTAGGAAATTCCATTTCTGTTTCAAAGAATTATGTCCAGTTACAAGAATTTCCATTCTCTGTGCATAAAAATTGGTAATCCAAAGCTGGACAATTCATTTATGGATTCCAAGGCCAGAAGGACCATATTTTGATCGTCTAGTCTGACATTCCAGTACAACACAGGCCATAAAATTTCCCAAAAATAATTCCTAGAGCATATCCAAGAGAAACATCCAATCTTGATTTAAAAATAGTCAGTGATGGAGAATCCACCATGACCCTTGGTAAATTGTTCCAATGGTTAATTACTCTTACCATTAAAAATTTATCAATGGATATTTGAAAAATTTTGGAACATTTAGAACAATCAGATGAGGAAACTGAGGATTGTAAAGACTCAGAAATGCATTTACATGTGCAATTAATACTTCTCTTTGCATGCTTTAATTTTTCTGCTGCAACATTTGCTATGACTGAAGGACCTAACAAAGCTAAGTGAATAGGTAACATGATGGCATATACAGTTCAGTGCTGGCAAGTCCAAGGAAATGCACATTGGAAAAGAATAATGCAGATATGTTTTCCCTTTAATCTACTGACACAGTAGTTTTGTTCTTTCTTCTATTCTTAAAAGGGAATTTTGGATCAACAAGAACTCTTAGAAGGTCCACAAGGGTTAGAAAATGCTCGATTTGGATCTGCTATGGCGTCCCTTTCAGATATTGATTTGGATGGTTTTAATGATGTGATAATAGGTGCACCTTTAGAAAATCAGAACTCTGGAGCAGTTTACATTTACAATGGCAATCTAAGGACTATACGTACCAAATATTCACAGGTAAATAACTTTGTTACATAATACTGTATTCAAAGGCTTGTGATGTGATACAAAATTCAGCTAGATTCAAACTAAAGGATTTGATATAATGAGGGTTTTTTTGTTAGCTGGTATTCTATTCCCTTTAAATACTGTGTCATATTCTGTAGACTCTTATTGGCTGTTTTCAGCATCACTTCCTTTTCTTTCACCATATGCCAGCCATAAATACTCCCAGGATAACACCTGTGCAGCTGATAGCTAGGGGTACAGAGATAGGTGACGTGAACATTTGTTGGGAGGAAGCCTAGCCCACTGAATCTATAGTTACATTTTTAATCCTGTACACCAAGTTGACTCATTTCCAGAAAAGGTTTTAGGCAGCCCATTGTTTAGCCTTATAGAGTTGGTGCACACCAGAAAATATTGGGTTAATTCCAAATGTGAAGGCTTTACAAGTATAGTATTTAAGGAGGAGCGTTTCAAAGGCACAAAGGGGAATTAGATACCCAAATCCCATAGATTGAAATAATAATATTGTAACATGTTTCTCTCATGAGAATTCTCCTGATGCAAAAAAGGTTTGTTAGAAGATTTGTTAAATTTTCCAGTCCTTGAGAATTGCTTCATGTGAGATGGAAATAAAGCTTTTCAATAATGACTAGTTAGCATGCAGCAATCTGTCTGCTTGGTCAATTTACTTCCAAGATTTAAAAAAAAAAAATGATTTGCTGTCTCAGAAAAAAGGAACCCTTACAAATAATAGAGAGACCATCCACAGAAGAGTTTGTCTAAACAAATATGTTGCATCCTAATAGAATAACTGTGAAAATCAAATGCTTATGCTGCTGTTTGTCAGTAATCAAGTTCTCTTTTTCTAGAAAATTTTAGGATCAAATTCTGCTTTCGGACAACTACTCCAGTACTTTGGAAGATCAGTAGATGGCCATAGAGACTTAAATGGTGATGGCATTACTGATGTATCTGTTGGTGCCGATGGAAATGTGGTTCAACTCTGGTTAGTCAATTATTTTGGCCAGTGTTTTAATATTTTGGATATAAGTAGTGCATTTGTTTAACGAAACGGCAAAACATTCCCCAACCTCCAACCCACCTCGACTCATGGCATGTGTATGGCACTAACGCAGTTGTTTTCTCATGATTATGCTAATGGAGTATCTAGTTGAAAAATAGTGTTGAACTACCCTATTTTCAATTGCCAGTAACGAATAATGGACTGACCTGTTTGGAAGAGCTGTTCAATAGAGTAAGCAAATAGAGCAGTGAAATAAAATTGGCACCTACTTCTGACAAAATTAATCTTTTCTGTCCTGTGGACAATGCATACCTACCAAGACAGTTTACAAGTTTCATCACATAAAAACAAGAACAGTTACCCAGTATTGCTTTGGGAAGCACTTGTGAATGTCTACACAGCAACTGTCAGCCAACTTGAGTTTGGGTTGCGGGGCTGTTTCATTGCTGTGTACACTTCTGGGCTCAGACTGGATCCCAAGCTCTGGGACCCTCCCACCTTGTGGGGTCCTAGAAGTCCATACTCCAGCCCAATTCCAAAGTATACGCAGCAGTGAAACAGCCCCACAGCCCAAGTCCTGTGAGCCCAAGTTAGCTGGTACGGGCCAGCCCCAGGGTTTTCTTTGCTGTGTAGACATACCCATTTTGTGCAGCACATTGCATGGTGCTAAGTTGAAACACAGCTTGATAAATAGCTTCACTCCTCGGTTATCCATGTCCTCACCAGGCCTCCCCAACGATATTATAGAGACACTTTATGAAGTATGGGTTTGCACTGGTAACAGAATTAAAAATATAAATAAATTGCCACTTTTTGCATCATAAAATCAAATTAAAAAACAATGGCCATCTAGTACCTTTTATCCACAGTAGAACTTTGGTTGATGTCAGCAGGCATTCCATATATACATTAGAAAGCTGTTTGACACATTTCTTTTAGTTTGATCAATAAAAGGTATTCATATCTCTGCTTTACTCTAGAATTTGATCTAACTTGACAAAAAGTGAAGCTCATTAAAGTATATATGTAAATTGTAAAATGCAAACAGGAAAATCAGTTGTTAACAAAACATCATCTTGGATTTGCTTGGAAATATTTTTTTAGTTCTTCAAAACAATTCTTTGGAATCTTGACCACTTAATGACAGTCACATTTCTTCTTAATTAGCTTGTGTGAAAAAAAATGTAACTGCTCTGCTCCACCATTAAGGTCAGTGACTTTCCTAAAAGAACAATAGCAGTTTTCCTTATGGAAAAATACAAGAACTTGATTCTGTCTTATGAACAATTATTTAAAATATTAAGAATATTAATATTAACTAATCATAAATCTCCCATTGTATTGTGTCAGTTAATGTGACAACATAAGAGAGATTTGAAAAAGAATATTAGCTATTGAAAAGAACCATTTCATCAAAGAAAGATAACTGTACCAGGCTGGCATGATATGAAATTTTACAGTGGGGACCATTATAAAAAACATTATAGTCACAGATAGGCCTGTCCCAGAACTAAGTTTCTGATTTACTCCGGGTCCTTGAAATCACATGTAGCCATCTCTTTTGTTTCAGGTCACAAAGCATTGCAAATGTGTCCATAAGAGCATCATTTGTACCTGAGAAAATCAGTCTGCTGAATAAGAACACTGAGATAGCCGTCAAAATATGTTTCAGTGCCAAGTTTAGACCTGCTAATAGAAATAACCAAGTGGGTAAGAATACCTAATGTATTGCTTATGTGAATTATGTTGAAAGTGTTGCAATTCTAATATACTGGGGAAAATTAAAAACTAATATTGGATTACAAACCTATAAAAGAAGAAATCACTATAAATTTTAATAGTGGCTGAAGAAATTGCTTCTTTGTTTTATTTTAAAGCACTGCTGTCATCACTGACCTGCTGTCTTTGGAAAGTGAGAGACAAGTTATATTGAAAAGAGAGTGCAGACTTCTCACCTATCCTGTTAGCACTCTGAAGTGCCATCAGGGAGAGAGGAGTAAAGGCAGGGGAGCTCAGAGGCTAGTTTCATTGCATTGAGCTCTCTAGTTGTCCTTCAGCTGCACTCCAGTCCTGTCATCCGCTTTGATCACTTTGGAGGAGTAAAGGAGTAACTTAAGAAGATGGCAGGGGTACAGAGCTTGTTTCCAGGCTGCTGTTTGAAGCTGCAGTAGTGACCATATCTTCTCTCTTCAACAAAAAAAGATGTCTCCCACTGCTAAATCACTCATGCTGAACAAGCTACTACCTCTGATGTGAGCAGACAGGAGCTCTTTTTGGGTAATAGAAGAGAATTAGACAGGGCAGCCCAAACTATATGATTTAAAAAAAAATAATTTAAAGCCCAACCTTGGGTCTTTCACTAGACTTGTCCATCACCATTTTTAGGAAGACAGGGAAATAGAAAAATATTATGAGTGTCCTTTAAGGACTTATGATACAATATTGTCAGACCTCACCTGATCAATTATCTTTACACCAAATAATTGGCAAAATAAGTTTGACCACTTCTCTACTGAATATAGTACCTTTTCAGTGCTTACAATTTGTGAGCAACAAAATAACGATGAATTTCCATAGCAAGCACTCATAGTAACATTTGAAAAAAAAATTAAAGCTGAAAATGCAGTTTGATGGATGACTAGATGCAGAGTGCTTTATAGACTGGTACATTTAGAGTTCTGCGATATGATTGCAAGGTATCTGTCTTTGGCATATTCCTGGCCTTGCTGAATGACCTCTTGCCCAGGTTACAGACTCTCTCATTCTCAGTAGATATTGGATTGTTTACCATTTTTTAGAAGGTTTCATGTTTAGCAAGCTACAGAAGCAGTAAAATATTCTTGGGTTTCATGGCAAAATCAGTAATTCTATAATACTGAAGCCTGATTCTGATGGGAGTTGCACTGAAATTCGGACTCCACCAAAATTTGTTCCATTTCTTTTGTAGATATCAGATACAATGCAACACTGGATGCTGATCTCCAGTCATCTAGAGTGACTTCTAGAGGATTATTCAAAGAAAACAATGAGAGATATATACAGAAAAATATTGTTGTAAGTTCTGCAGAGACCTGTGTTGAGCACATCTTTAATGTACAGGTAAGCAGTCTCAAACACCCTCATGTGTCTTAAGTCATCTAAGAAAGAAATAGGTGACTCTTACATCCAAAAATCAGAATTTTATTTGATATAGTCAATAACTTACTAAATACCTAACCAAATCTGTTTGATTTCTCAGACACCTCAGACATCTTAAAAATATAAGCCCTATTCAAAGCATGGCAAAACTCACGTTCATAGATATTAAGGCAGGAAGAGACAATTATGATCATTTAGTCCGATCTCCTTCAAATAGGCCAAAGAACCTCATCCAATAATTTCTGCATCAAGCCCATGATTTCAGTGGGGTCAGGATTTCACCCACAGAGTGCACCATTCCATAGCTGGCTGTACAAAGATTCAAGTGGCAAACGTTTTTTTTATTTTAAAAAAAACAAGGTAAACAGCCTAGGCCGCCTTCTGGTGTGTACCAGCCCTAGAAGGTTGCAGAAAGGGGCTGCAGAATAGGCTGGTCTTTTCAGGAAGTGAGTCAACCTGGTGTACAGACATAAAAAACCCAACTGCCCTTCTTTATAACAATGAAAACAACCCAGATTCCTAAAGCTGCAGTAAACCCCTTGCTTGATTCCATGAACGGTGATGAGACTGTGTCAGGGAACTGGTTCTTTTATTCCTGCCTTCAATAAAGAATTTAAAAAATACCCAAACCAATCTATTTACAGGTAGTTAACTTTGGGGATTTCTTTCTTTCCTCATACACCTACTCGCCGCTAGGGCAAATGTTTTGGGCCAATGGGTCACATCCATCAACTCCTCTTGGTTCAGCCTCATTTCAGAGAGGGATTGGGACGAGAGAGTTTTAATCAGTTTGTCACTGATCTGGGAAGAACCCATTCACTACTAGGAAATCAGGAAGGGGTGATGGTGGGGAGACATACTCCACATGTTTAGTGCTTCCCCTGATGTCATTTGTAAGGGCCCATTTGCCATATATGGTAGTCAGGCAAAGTGGGGTAGAGTCAGTGAATCCATGCTTGGGAAAGGGCCAGACTTAACAGGTTTCATGTGGCTGCTTCTAAGGGATAACTTCGTCTTCTGAATAGCAAGCAGCCTCTGCAACAGCAGGGACTTTCCAGGCACCAAAGACACAGAAACAATTACAGCCTCTACAAATCCTTGGGTATTATAATGGAAATGCTGACACTGGTAGGTTCTGCTGTAATACTGCTTAGCAGACCAGCGAAAGAAGAAACAAAAGGTTAAAAAAAGGCAATACTGCAATATTAGAAGAAGAGAAGAAACACTTTGTGTTAGTCTCTGTTGTTTACAGGATGTTAAATATTATTAATGGAAAATATGTTATACTGTTTTAAATGATCTGTTGAACAGCTAATTGCCACTGAATATATATGTATATTATAGGAGCCTTCCGATGCTGTAAACTCCCTTAGTCTGCGCATTGATATTAGCCTCAAGAATCCTGGCTCCAGTCCTGTCCTCGATATATATTCACCTGCCACTGTGGCCTACAGTGTAAGTATAGAATGTTACTGTATGAAAGCACACAGTGCTCCCCCAACACTGCTCCTGTTGTCACCAACAGAGTATGTCGAGATGAAGGATAGTCTTATGGTTAAGACGTTGTACTGATGACAGAAGGCATGGGTTCATTTCCCAGTTTTACGTTGTATGACTTTACAAAAGCTGCTTAGTGTCTATAAGTCTCACTGAGGCATCTATAAAATGGGGATAATAAAACTAAGCTATTTCTAAGGTGTTGAAGTTAAATTAGATATAGTCGGTCTGGTCCTCAAATTGTAATTTGAAACTAAAGAAATACAGGAAAATATGTTTTTCCTTTCCTGTAGATCCCTTTTGTTAAGGACTGTGGTGAGGACGAAGTCTGCATTTCTGATCTTGTTCTTGAGGTTCAACAGAAAACCGATGATGGGTAAGTGTTAAATAAAGTGAGTTTTTCGTAAGGAACATTTTTGCCAACTGCATTCTGAATAAAAACTTAAGAGTATGCAGCAAATATTTGTAGAAAAATATACAAAGAGTCTTTCAGTTTCTACCACTAATAGAGGATGAGAAACCAGCTGTTGTAGACAGATGTATGACTGTGCTGGAAGGCAACTGAATTGTTACAGTTACTTTGCTTTTAAAGAGAATTACAGCATTTCTACTGTTAAAACTTAATAATGTCATAGTAATAGTACATAGTCAAGATTATGTAGCTTTACAGAAAGCGTTCATTCAGGCCAGTTTTAAGAGACGAGTTCACCTCATTTATAGCCATTGTATAAAGTTATTGTAAAGTTATTGTAAGTATATAGAACTTTGAAAATTGATAGTGCTATGCATGTGAGTAGTTGTTGCTTAATGGAAGTATAATGCCTTTTAGTGATCTGCAACTGCACTAGTTACTATATTTATAATACCAAACAATTTTTTCAACAGCAAACGGCCCTTTATTGTCAGCAGCAAGAACAGAAGGCTAACATTCAGTGTGAAGCTGAGAAATAAAAAAGAAAATGCCTACAACACCAGAATCCAGGCTACATTTTCAGAAAACTTGTTTTTTGCTTCATCTTCTTTACCAGTATGTAAAATATTCACCTCCTCTCAACTTTTCCTATTATTGCTGTTTTTCTGGTTTCCCAGAGAAATGTTTTTCTTTCTAGTATCGTTTTCCCAGCAAAGGCTGATGTGCAAACTACCCCTCTGACCCAACTTATTCCCTAGGATACCAAAATCATCTTCCAGCTTTGTCTTAGCATCAGTCAGAATTAAACGTAGCGTATCAGTTTATCTAGATCAAGGATAGAGACAGCCAGCTCAACAAAAAAGCTGGCAATCTATCTAGTTTGATTCAGCCTCACTATTACCGTCATTTTTTCCTTACCCTGGGACTTGGCATCCCGTATCTACTGCTTGACCCCCCCAGCAACACTTCTGAATACCGTTGCTGTGCCACAGAGAGTTTATACTTGACAAATCAAGTGTGCAACATGGATAGAGCTTCAAAACACAGATTTTGGAGCCAGAAATAGCATTACTGCCAAGGTCATGTATTTCAACTAGACCGTTAGTCAGATCAAGATGATCACTCTACCAGAAACCATGCTTCTAATGGATTTTTTTCCTTGCAAAAAATAAAGGAATGTTACGTATTATTTTGGGACTGGAATAAATCATTTATCTGAACTCTTGCTCCCAGCCGGTTAATACAGGATAAAATCCAGACCCCAGTGCCTGGCCCAGGTTACAAGGCTGCTACTGGAGAGGTGTACAGTGAGGGTTAGAATCCAGTGGTTAAAATACATCTTATGCAGGGAAGGAATGGGAGCATTCATGAAGAGGCAAATCCCTTGGCCCTGCCCAGGCCCAACCAAGACCCATGTTCTCCTGCATGCAAATAGATGGGCTCCATGTCACTCACATGGTATGCACCAGTCCCCATTGCACAGCACAACCACAACGATTCCATTGCACAAAGAACCACAACAAAAATCAGATTTTTAAAAAATCCATTGGCTTACAGAAAATTCAGTCTTCAAGGGAACCCATTTTCCCCAAAAAAGGTTTCTGCTTCAGAGCAGAAAGGAGCCTAGAACCAGAACTATATGGAACTAGACAATGGAATGGGAACTAAGTGAACTCCATCATTCAAGGAGGATTCTCTGTTTACGTTCATATTTAGGTTAATTTTCTGAAACGGCCAAATCTGGTCTCATGCACAAAACCCATTTACACTGGCTTTGTTTGAGGGCTTGGGGATGGAATTCCCACTCTGTGCTTGAAAGCCCAATAAGAGTTGATGCTGTAGGTGTCACTACACCCAGAAGAACAGGTGACTCCTCAGTGTCACTTTGGGGTCGTTACTAATATAAAGCACGTACCGCTTTGACCTCCAATCTATATTCCTTGTTTCTAAGTACCGCCCCCTCGTGGGGTTATTAGATGATAAGCAGTGGCACAGAAACAGTTTGCCAGTGGATGTATGTAGTCACAGTCCCCCTGTTATCTTCCCTCTCCTCACCTGACCCAGTCCAAACCTCCCCTGCACAGCCTCTCAACAGCTTGCCCGTAGTGGAACTGCAGCTGGATTCAGGGGTGGATTTGACCCTACACGGTAGATGTCACATTGAAAAATGTAGTGTAGGGAATTCTATGGTTTTGTAGCAGAAGCTAATATCTGGGTTGTTGGGTTTTTTTCCCCTCTAGGCTGATGGGACTGAAATCTCGTGTCAGATGGGCACTGGCCATAAATCAGTCATTTGCCAAGTCAGCTATCCTGTTTTTAAAGTGGGACAACAGGTACTGCTCAGATTTTGTATTTAAGTAAGTTTGTTATTCCTACCACAATGCTTATAAAAGGATCCCCCTTCACAAATAACAAGCACTGTTTTCTTATTAATGATTTGGTTAGATTCAAACCTCACTTTGGGTTACATGTTGCCTGTTCTGATGATGCTAAACAATGACCCAAAGATCCTCCAAGCCCACAGGGCTGGGGAAAGAAGTGGCTCTGTAGTATGCGTCTCCCTACCATGCTACTGTAATGCTGTATCTCTGTGAGGGAGGGAGGCTGGGGACAGAAGGTGAGAAGCAGCCATTCTTTATGATATTCTCCACTGGGCACTGAACAGATTTCCAGGCAAGATGATGGTGGTATTCATAGTGATTGGGAAAGAAGGTAGTGGGGAGAGTGGGGGGAAGATTAAGAGCTCTGTTTTAGCCATGTTTAGCTTGAGCTGACAACTAGACACCCACCAGGAGATTTCAAAAGACAGACTGAGATGTTAGTTTGGACAGAAAAAGACAGGACTGGGGCAGAGAGGAAGATCTCAGAGTTGTCATCACAGAGATAGTAGTTGAAGTTGTGTTTGTGGATGAGATTACCCAGAGATATAATGTAAACTGGGGGAGAGAAGACCGAGTCTGTGGAATCCCCACAGAAAGTTGGAGGATGGATGAGGAGGACCCAGTTAGAGAGGCTGGAGGAGAACCAGGAGAGGACAGAGTCATGGAAGCCAAGGAATGACAAGACTTCAAGAGCAGGAGCATGGGCAGCTGGGTTGAAGGCAGCTGACAGGTTAAGGAGGATGAAGATGGAGTAATGGTTCTGAGATTTGTGTAGGAAAAAGACATCAGAGACTTTGCCCAGAGCAGTTTGTTGAGCTAGGAATTACTGCTTGGTTCCATCAACATTAACTCCCTCTCCAGGGCTGCAAACATAACCAGTTTGTGGGAGCTGTGCTGCCATGGAAGAAGGGGTAGCCCAGCACCTGAAAGGAGGTGTGTAAATCTCAGGATAGCCAAGGTTTTAGGAAGCCCATCCTCTTCTCTGTTCCCCTGGGGCAGGAGGGAAATAGTCCTCTCATTCCATGACAGGGTAATTTGGAACAATGAGAAGCTTGCCAGGTAGAACAGAAACGTTCCCTCTGTGAGTTAATGCTTAAGAATGTATATAACCCAAATAACTTCATATTTCATTAATGACCTTGGCACCAACTGAGAGTATGCTAATGAAGTGTGCTAATGACACAAAGTTGGGAGGCACTATCAATACAGAGAAGTGAATATTATACAGGAAGAATTGGAGACCCTGAGGACTGGAGTAATAGAAGTGCGTTAAAAATTCATAGTATGAAGTGCCAGGTAATGCATTTAGGGACTAATCAGAATTTCTGTAATACATGAGGGGCTCATCAGTAGGAAACAACAGAAGAAGAGAAAGACCTGGGTATCTTTGTTGATCATAAGATGACTATGAGCCACTAGCGTGATGTGGTCATGAAAAAGGCAAATGTGATCTTAAGATGACTCAAGTAAGGTACTTACAGTAGAGATAGGGAAGAATTAATGCCATAGTACAAGGCACTGGTGAGACCTCATCTGGATTATTGTATACAATTCTGGTCACCCATGATCAAGAAATATTAATTTAAATTGGAACAGGTGCAGAGAAGAGCTATAAGAAGATCAGGGGAATAGAGATCCTATGTTTCAAGATGATGGTTTGTTTCGCCTATAAAAATGAAGGCTGAGAGCTATGCTTAAATTTCTGGGAGTCGCAGTCCTGGGAAGAAAAGAAGTAAAGCTCAAAGGCAGGTCACTGAGAAGCACAGAGCTTCTACCAGAGCTGCTGCCTCAGACAGTGCCCCAGGCTCCTGCCACTGCCTCATGCAGTGCTCTGCCTCTGTCCTACTCCTGCAAGGGCAGACACCACCCAGGCATTGGTGTGTCCATCACACTCAATGTTTATATGCAGATAAATAATTATTATAATTAATTATATTTGTTTGTAAGCACTTTAAATTTGCTTATTGTATAATCTGTTTGTTTACTTCTGTTTATCTTTTGTGTAGGTATATTTCGATATTAATTTTGACTTTAATCTCAAAAATCTTCAGGATATGGCAAAAATAAGTTTTCATGCTTTGAGGTAAAGTACATTCTTATATAATAATTTCATTTAAAAAGCATCCTCTGCCAGTGCTGCAGAGTTAAAATATAATAAGTTAACTATGATTGCCAGTATAATTTGTTTTAAATGTAATTGTGAGTTATAATACATGAGTGAACAAACTATGTTTTTGATAAATAGTGAAAGTAATGAAGAGCAAGACGCAGACAACCAGGTCTACCTGTCAATTCCTCTGCGGTATGATGCAGAAATTCACTTAACAAGGTACGCTGAATAAAGAAAAGAATCTGTCATTTTTGTCAAAGGTATTTGAACATAAAGGTCCCTGTGAGAGACCTTGAGAACTTATGTCAAGGTTCCCCCCCACTCTGAACTCTGGGGTACAGATGTGGGGACCCACATGAAGGACCCCCAAGCTTATTTTCTACCAGCTTAGGTTAAAACTTTCCCAAGGCACAAATTCCTTTCCTTGTTCTTGGACTGTATTGCTGCCACCACCAAGCGATTTACACAAAAATTCAGGGAAGGGTCACTTGGAATCCCTATCTCCCCAAGATACCCCCCCAAGCCCCTTCACCCCCTTTCCTGGGGAGGCTTGAGAATAATATACCAACTAATTGCCTTAGCAAAGTGAGCACAGACCAGACCCTTTATCTTCAGGACACTGAAATCAATCAGGTTCTTAAAAGAAGAAATTTATTATAAAGAAAAAAGTAAAAGAATCACACCCGCAAAATCAGAATGGAAGGTAATTTTACAGGGTAATGAAAAGATTTAAAACACTGAGGATTCCCCTCTGGGCTCAGCTTCACAATTACAAAAACAGGAATAAAACTACCTCTGTAGCATAGGAAAATTCACAAGCCAAAACAAAAGATAACCTAACGCATTTCCTTGCCCTACTTACAATTTCTGTGGTTTTAGATGGATTATTCCACGTATATTTTCAGGAGATGTTATACCTGCTTCCTTCTCCCTCCATCCGGAGAGGGAACAACATAAGAGAACAACAAACAAATCCTTTCCCCCCAGATTTGAAAGTATCTTCTTTCCTCATTGGTCCTTCTGGTCAGGTGCCAACTAGGTTATTTGAACTGCTTAACCCCTTACAGGTAAGGCGATTCACTACAGCTGCCAAAGAGGGATTTTATGCTACTGTATACGTAAAGGTTCTGGGAAACTTTCATGGCAGAGTGCATCAGCCACTTTGTTAGAAGCTCCTGAAATGTGTTGTATTTCAAAATCAAAATCTTGGAGAGCTAAATTCCACCAAAGAAGTTTTTTGTTATTTTCCTTGATGGTATGAAGCCACTTTAGCACAGCATGGTCGGTCTGCAGGTGGAAACGCCATCCCCAAACTTATGGGCGTAGCTTCTACAGAGCTTACACAATGGCGTAACGTTCCTTCTCTGTGATTGACCAGTGGCTTTCCCTCTCAGACAGTTTTTTGCTGAGAAACATGACAGGATGGAATTCTTGATCCAGTCCTTCCTGCATTAAAACTGCTCCCACACCACGCTCGGACGCATCTGTGGTTACTAGGAAAGGTTTGTCAAAGTCTGGGGCCCTTAGCCCAGGGTCAGACATGCGTGTTGCTGGTAGAAAATAAGCTTGGGGGTCTTTCATGCGGGTCCCCACATCTGTACCCCAGAGTTCAGAGTTGGGGAAGGGGAACCCTGACATGGTGGTAGAGGTGGAATTTTATGCTACTGCATACATAAAGATTGTTACCCTTCCCTCTATATTTATGACACCTTAGATTCACTATCTTTCTTTGGCTGCTGTAAGAAATTCCTGCTTTATCAAGTACAGGAAAGGTCGTCTTATTCTCTTTGTATAATGGCATTGCTTTTAAAAAGAAAAATAATAAAAAGACCAGATATGTAGCTATACAACCCTTAATACATACTTAGCCAGGTACAGATATTATAGGTGCTCAAATACTGCAGTTGTGGCAACCATATAATTACCTAGATAGGTAGTGCTGGCTGTAACATCTGTATTGTAGCTAGGTCAGCACAAGAACCACCAACAAAAGTGCTCTGTTTTTAATGATATAATTAATGTACAGTATATACAGTTGTGGGCTTGCTGGCTCAAATGTATTGAAAGCCCTTTTCAAAATGGATAGTTTGCTTGGGATCAAGGAAAACCTCATTATCTAGGATAAACTATTTATGGTTATATATGATGTGCTCATGCAGCGAACTACAGGTGAAGGAATAAATATATTATCTTACTTTGTATAGTGCTTCATGCCAAAGGTATCCCGATGACATTTATAAACTTAAACTGATAGAAAACAACAAACAGCAATCACTCCAAACTCAACTTTTGAGGTGAAAGGTGGCCTCTGCTTAAAAGAGCACAGCAACAATGAATTTGAGGGTAGTTCTACACTTATGGTGGCATGTAGAATACAGACACTGCATCCCAGCTAGCACGGATATAAGTAGCAGTGTAAACACTGAGGCACTGTTTAAGTGAGTAGAGTAGAGTGCCCGACACATCTGAACCCTTACGTAATACTTTACACAGCTCTCTATGCACCCAAGCTGTGCCTCCCATGTCTACGCTGGTTTGTTCACAGCTGGAGCCTTTCCCTGCCTCAGTAAAAGAATCTGACAGCAGAGAAAGACTGGCAGAGGGGAGGCAGCAGGAAAAGTCTCCAGTCTTCTTCTGCAGTAGGGAAAGACTTCAATAGGCCCCCCTTGCCAGAGCCCTTTCCTGCCACAGTGAAAGGCTCCAGCAATGGGAAGATGCCAGAGCCCTTGTGCATGTAGCTACATGTACCTTACACACTATTGCAAGTATAGGCAAGTTTAGACAAGGTCTGAGAGATTAATTTTAGAAGAATTTGGCCCACAAATACAGTGGCCAATTTTAACAGCCCCAATTTTGCAAAAACTATTACAATATCTTGAAAGACCCAGATGTGACACCTCACCAGGTGTGCCAATTCCTACGTCCCAACAGCAGGATGAATCCATGAGTTTTCTCCCAAAATGTTTGCTGATCAGCTCAGCCTTATTTGTATCATTCCATGGCAGATATTTTTTTCTAAAACACCTCTATTCTGTAGTGAAATTAGTGTTAAAATGTATGTGACACTTCATCTGTTATCTTTTCAATAATCATCATTTCCAAAAATCCCTGGATAAAAAACATTCATTTTTTGTTTGCAGCAGCAATAATATATTCCTTGTTTAATGTGTATATTTTAACATCAGTGGCAAATTTTTCCCACTTCATGGTATTGCTATGCTGCACTACGTTTCAAATCCTCTTCGAGATTTGGGCTCCAATAAGAAATTTCCTGTTTCTTAAACAACTTTTTAACATTAAACTAAAAAAAGGATACAAATAATTGAATCTCTTCTTCTTACACTTCTGAACTTTGATTCACTGATTTATAATGAACCCAAAAGCATCCAATTACGTAGCTGCCAAATAAAAATCTATTGTTTTATGGTTGATTACCAGGCTTACCAACATAAATTTCTATGAAGTATATTCTGATCGTAATATTCCTTCCACTGTGAATAATTTTGAAGAGATTGGTCCTGCGTTCAATTTTTCAGTGAAGGTTAGTAAACATTTTTGGGGATGAGACAAGATCTTGCCTTTTATCTATAGTCTGTACCCAAAGAGTAGACAAAATGATGGTCCTTGGTATGTTTTACTGTGCTGCTTTATGAATCTGTTCAATGAGGAAAATGATTCACCACCATAATGCACAACCTTCACTGCTTAAAGGTAAGATTTCCATTTGGTTTTCACTCTATATGCATCCGAAGAAGTGGGTTGTAGCCCACGAAAGCTTATGCTCTAATAAATTTGTTAGTCTCTAAGGTGCCACAAGTACTCCTGTTCATTTAGTGATGGGCAGTCTTATGCACGTTTGGTTCTCCAATGGCTCACATTAACCCAGATCTTGCAAAGACTTACGTATGTGCTTACTTTTATGCACTCTTAGTAGTGAAGTCAGTCTATCAGTTCCTCTGCAGACAGAAATCAATGGGACTACTCACAGTACATAAAGTTAAGCACGTTCATAAGTCTTTGCAGGATTTGGGCCATTGAAATAAGACACACTGTTCAAGGAGGTACATGAACAAGTCTGATTATTGATAACAGTATTGGTTATGTAACTCTGGAAAAAGTTTAGCTGCAAATATGCAGCATGGAGGAAACCTAAAACCTAAATTGGTTGCAAATATATAACATGGTGGAACCCTAAATTTAATGGTAACAACTATTGGAATGTAAATGTAACCTATCTTGTAGGTTATTGGATGCAACAAAATATTTGCTTTTCCAGAAGTGTTTTATGCAACTAATTAAAGTTTTGTTTAGAAAGCAGCCAGGTATTCAAAATCATATGGTATAAATTACTTTACATGTAATGCTGGTATAATGCAATTACTGCCCAGTTAGAGATAAGTATAGGTATCGGAAAAATTATTGCAGTGAAAGCAGTTCAGAGTTTTAATCAGTCTTAGAGCATTCTGATGTTCTTGGTATAGCTGAGTAATTTGTTTGTATCCAGTTATAGCTAAATAAATTAATAACTAGCTCTTTTCTATTTAGGTTACAACGGGAAGCATTCCAGTAAAGGTGGCTTCTGTAAAAATCCATTTTCCACAGTTGACTAAAGGAAACAATCCTCTGATGTATCTAACGGCACTGGATACAGATCAGGTAAAGAACTAAACTACATAAATATAATGTAGACTCATTAGAATAATGGTATAAGAGCTGAGACCTAGGATTAGACAGTCAACAAGTAGTCATGTTGTGATATCCTGAGCCTGCATTTCAGTGTTTGTATTGATGTTGTCTCCATTCACTGATAAAGTGGCTCCTCCATCCTGAGAACAGGGAAACTCTGCCCTTTCTTTCTTTTCAGTCTTAGTTGATAGGAGAAAGAGGTAGGATGCTCCAAGAGGTAGGCACTAGCCTAGGACATAGGAGTCTGAATTCATGTCCCTGCTCTGCCACAGGCTTCCTACATGACCTTGGGCAAGTCACTTAGTGACTCTGTTGATCAATTCCCTATCTGTAAATATGGGGATAATAGTATTGCCTAGTGTACCTGTCAAGTGCTGGTGGGAAAAATGGCATGTAATCACATAATTAAAGTCTGTAACATAATCAAATAAGTGATTTCCAAATAGGAGTATTCCACTGATTTCAATGGGACCAGGATCTCAACTTCAATGTTTAATAAACAGCCCCATATCTGGGACTAGATTTAAGCATGTGTTGTTGTTAAGACTGTCAGGAATGGAACAGGCTCCTTCATTATTCTCCATCCAGAACATACTAAGAATATTGCCACCAGGGAAACTCACCTTATCTGAATGCACTTCCTTTATGTACGTTGAAAAAAAAACAGGGTCCATTATTAGTGTAGACAATGTTTTCAAAATATTTCACACCTACACATAGGTCAAAGGTCATGTACTTCTCAACTGGACCCTCTTTCAAATCCTAAATCAGTGTGTAAAATTTAATAAACATAAGCTATTTTTTCTTAGAATTACCAAAAAATATTAAAGCAATTTAATTCTGAATTGTAAAGGAAATCAATACATTATCAGTATTTTCCAAAAGCATTCAGTATTTTACACACACACACGTGCACGCACACAAAATCACCCTTATCCTTCCACCAAGTATAATTCTGCATTTTCTTTTTAGGCTGGAGGTGTCAGTTGTGATGCAAAGATTAATCCTTTGCAAATAGGAAAAACATCTTATTCTGCATCTTTCAAGAAAGAAAACTTCAGAGCTGCAAAAGAACTAGTAAGGAAAAGCTGTGACTATAACATTTGTGGTCCCAATCCTGCATTGTAATCCAGATAGGCAGACCTCTGTGCCATGCAGGGCCCTCTTGGCATCAGTGGTGCTCCACACAGGCTCAGCAATTCACCTGCATAAATCACAATGCAGTATAGGGGCCTATAATTGTATTGTGTTGCTGTTTCCTCCTCCTTTGTATATATATTTTTCTTTCTACAGCTAAAATTTCTGCAGAGTAACCACAGCCCATTTTCCACTACGTATTACTCTGTGTGCATGCATGTATGTATTATTGTGTATGTGCAAATGGTTATCTCTTTTTCACAGAACAGTCCCTAATATTACTCCTTGCAGCTCACTCAAACTTTGGTCTTTCTGCTGCTCGTGTCTGTCTAGTTTAGTTTAGTTTAGCTTTTCCTATCGCGACCATCTGACTATTAATATTGCTGCAGTCTTTGGACAACTGAGATCACTAATGCTGACTAAATTAATCTAAACCACCTCAGAAATAACTATAAAAATATGCTTAAATAACATTAAGGATCTATGTGAAATGAGACTTCTTGCTGGAGGAGATCCCTCTGGGTTAGGGCTGAGGTATGTTGGTGGAGAAGTATGAGTAAGCTTTCACTTATACTGTTCATACTGTATCTGCCCTATAGATAAGCAGGGGGCTTTAGCATGGGTCACAAGCATTTAATTAATACATACAGAATAACTAAGTTAAGAAACGTGTGCAGCAAGGACCAAGTTTAGAATTAAAACTGTGGTATTTGTTAAAGTGAATTATGCTTTTTAAAATCAAGCTAATACCTCTTTTTTCCCCTTCTCTGAAAGAACTGTAAGAATACACATTGTAATACAATTACATGCAGTCTGAAAGACCTCACACTGAAAGGAGAGTATTTTGTAAATGTGTCTACCAGAATCTGGAATGGAACGTTTGCAGCTGTAAGTAGTATCAGGTACCTTTTGATGGAAGATGTTATACCCATGTACGTCATGCTCGCTGATATTTTTGAAACTTAACACTGAAAGCGCTCCTTCCATAACAATCCCTTCCTCTTCTTGTTTTACATTATTTTGTCTATTATCCTAAATAAAAAATTTGCAACTGAAGCTAAAATAGATATTAAGTCTGTGTAACAAACCATTTAAAATATTAAATAGAGAGAGAGACACCCACTGAGGCATTGCAGCTACAATGGTGACACAAATCTTCCTCGATGCTGGCACATGGTGTTTGCTTTTGCAGACTGTCCTATAAGCTCAAGTAACCAGAAACTAGAATTTCCATGGAGCTGAAAAAGACAACACATGACAATAAACCACTGAAACAAGGTGGGTGAGGTAATATCTTTTATTGGACCCACTTCTGTTGGTTGAAAAGAAGCAGCTTACACAGAGCGCTTCTTCAGGTCTGGGGCCAACACGGCTGCAATCAGGGCCGGCTCCAGGCACCAGGCACCCAAGCTGGTGCTTGGGGCGGCACCTGGAGGGGGGCGGCGCGGCGCTCCGGCCGCCGGGGAGAGCGGGGCCACAGCCAGGCTCGCCGCCCTCCCCCCGGCGCTCTGGCCG